CATTTTCTTTGAAGTTTGATAACCAGAAACGGCAGATCCTCTGACAAGCATAAAAGATTCACCCTGTAAATGTTAAGAATACATAACAGAGTGGCCAGCAATTCAGGCGAGAATTGGCAAAGAAGCTCGTGATATATTCAACAATTATAAATAAACGAATAAAAATATTCTAATATTTAAAAAACAACGGTGAAGTATAAAATATATTACTTTGCTAATTACTTTAAATTTCCTTGTATGTGCAATTCGGGAAACAAATAATTTCACACAACACGAAAATCACGGACAAAAAGGCGCCATTAACGACAGACGCTTCTTTTAAAGAACGACTTCCGGTAAAGCATATTTGGGTAGCACATTCAAACAAGATCATAAACGATCACAAGAGAAACTACAAGGGACCAAGAAGTCAACGTTTTAAAAAATATTTATTTTAAAATAGCATTTTTGACAATTGATACAACGAGGTATTGCAGTCCTGACACAGTGAAAGCAAATTTTCCTGAACAATCCGAATGTCAGCATTTACCTAAACCATAAAATTCAGAGAAACGCAAACATACCTGGCCTATCTCCTCTGTTATTTGCATCTTCAGCATTGGATCACTTTCCTTGGTCTCTGCAGCTTCTAAGGCAAGCAACTGACATTTCAGTTTTCTGCAAATTATCAAATTCAAAGCCGGAATACCTCTTACGACGTTGAACTGCTGATGCGTGATGCAGGTTCTCCAGAAGTCCGCTCGATAGTTCATAAAAGTTTGAGAGCGAAAACAGATTCTCGGTCAAACGCCCTGTGTACATGTTTTCAATAAACATCGGAACACATACCTAGCGTTGTCTCTCCAAGACTTAATGTGTCGTGACTACCTCTAACTACATGCAAGATAATCAATGCAAACTTACTGGTCTTGGCCTGATTCTAGACGTGTTTTTTGCTCAGTTGGTACGCGTTCGCCACTTTCTATACCGAAATTTTCTGCTGTCAGAGTAGATTTCCCAGATATTATCCGATTTTTGTACAAAGCTAGGATACATTGTGGTATCCTTGGCTGTAGCTCGTGGTAATTCAGATCAATATTTAAAGAAGCCAGAAAGTAATCCTCTTTTCCTGCTTCACAGTTCTCTGTACAACCACCATCTTCGCTGGGGCACAGCTGGGAGCCCTGAAGACCCAGTGAGTAGTTACAACAGTTCCGTTTCAGTGGTAATGCACCAATCCAGATCTGGTAGAATTTCATGGCGAGTAAATTCTGCAATTGGTATTTAAATGCACGCAAGATAGTTAGAATTAGAAATGACACATGGTTCCTCTAT